AAAACCCTTTCACACAATTAAATGATTATGCAATAGTTTATATATTGTGATGGACATAGTAACTGAAGTTGGCTCGACTTGTATTTTTGGTTTTTGCACAGCGTCAACGTATCCTGACATAATAACTTGGATTTTGGACGAACTTCACAGCTATCACCAGGGGGCGAATGGCGGCCACAATTTGAAATCATTACCATCAACAGTCGACGTAAGCTAATCGATGCACGCTTATTTTTATAATCCACGTCGAAAGTCGTTAAAAATGATCGCGTGAAAATTTTCACGAGTTAATTAAATTTTCACTTTAAGCCATCATTTGCAAAACACTATAAGGAACACAATTTACGCTCAAATCAGGGTATGAGTTCGAAATACGAAACTTTGATTCAAATGACATCTGGCAAGGTACAGTGCTGCCAAGTTAAAAATATAAATCGTGATTTACGCGCTGACATGCATCGTAAACATTTGAGATGCGTAAGCATGCAAAACTATTTCGATCTATATCAATCCGCAAATCATATCACACTTTCTCCGATGATAATAAATGGCGCAAATCGAGCCATTGATGTAAAGAGAAATGAAATTTTTTCGTAGATAGCAGCTTCGCAATAAAAGCAATCTAACAACTAATCTTTAATTGCAATTAAAGTTTAATGCAAGGAATTGGTTCTGCCATTTCATCTAAATAGAATGCTTAACCATTAATTATTATTGGTAGAGTGTGTATGCGCTTTCGTAAACGTATAATTTTATAAAAGAAAGAATAATTGCATTAATTTGCAATTTATTTTATATAAACATAGATACGTATACGTATACACGAATATGTACGTGTTTGTGTTTGTGTGTGTGTGTGTGTATGTGTGTATATGTATGTGTATGTATTTTAACGTGTGAATCGAAGCAATATTAGCAGTAGCAATAGCAGTAGTAGTAGTTGTAGTAGTAGTAGTAGTAGTAGTAGTAGTAGTAGTAGTAGTATTGGTAGCAGCAGTAGTAGTTAGCAGTTAGGAGCAATTTATCTTTGTAATTTGCCACAATCTAATGCATTAAATGTTCATAAAGAACATTTCAATTAAAATAATTAACACAGCAAATACACTTTCGCATGCGAACGCATACAACGTAAAACGACCGGCACACAACACCAGATAACGATACCATATATGACAACCAATAGAACGATGAAAGGGGAATGAAAACGAAGAAGCAGGAGGCAGCACACATAAAATACTTTTTGGTAGAAATACAACAGCACTCAATTAGGCATAATACATACATTACGATATACATACATTCATGTATACATACATATTATATATATGTTTAATGTCTTGAGGTTGAATTTTTCAAAAAAAAAAGAAAAACGCATGCTGTTTACAAACATTTAACATATAACGTATGTATGTATGGTAAGAGTGTAATTTACATACATACATACATACATCTTTGCTTGTATTTGTCAAATGTTTTCACAATTTCACTTACCAATACTAATATAATATATCTTTATAAAAATGCTATTAACGATAATGATGATGATGATAATGATGATGATGACGATGATAAAGATGATAATGATGATGATGATGGCATGTTGTATACGGTGGTTATGGTGGTGGAAATTGACTCATTTAAAACAAGATCTAAGAAGAGAGTCCTTTTAATTATAATTAAACATGCGATTTAGCGTATAAGCGGTTACAACTTGCTATCTACACATTTACAATTAAAAAAAAAAAAAAAAAAAAAAAGAAACAATAAGGCTCCCTTGTCTTTTCAAAGCATCTTTAATGAAAAGCAGAATACTTATTATTTTCGCTCATCCAGGTGTAATTGTCAATATACAGAACATATCCAAGCAAACCAAGATACACCAAGATACGTAATGTATAACATACATATAACAAATTGAGCTTTTGGAAATTCAGTGATCCGTTGCTTTTCGTGTGCATTTCATTCATGCATTTCATATGTTTTGTAGAATAACAGTAACTTTAACTTATTAGGGCTCAATATTTCTTATATCACCAAATGCAACAACAATATATTTAAGAGACTGAGACCATTTACAATTTGATTGTTCGACATTCAAACTTGCTTTGTTACAAATGACTAACAAGTAAGAAAATTTTATTCGGTCGTGACCGAATCTCTTATAGCCATTACTGTTATCCTAAACAAGACTAAATAAGAAAAAAAAAAAAAAAAAAAAAAATGGAGAAAAACTCTTACTTTATAATATCGGGTGAACGCTGCTGATTTTTCCCATTCTCATAATGAAAACGGGAAATTTATATTGTATATGTGTTGATGTGCGTTATGAGTAATAAGCAAAAGGCACAGAGAGCAAAGATTTTCATAATTTTTCTTGCATAAGCGTGTTGGCATTGTAGACGCGTCCTATGACAAATTTTACCAAAAACACTACACAACTGAGCCAAGAATTTATATACTTGGGCTATGGGACTTCTGAAGTCTGCTTCTACGTCTTACAAAGCTATCGAAAACAAATTGACTTTCGATACAATATAATATTGGATAGGTGTGGCCAACTTTTCCCATTTCCCTACAAATGCTATAGCATCGCCCAAAGAATATACATTCATGTTTGTGTATATTTATCGATCGTAAACTTACGAGTAGTGAGCAAAAAAGCAAATTTTCATTCCGTTTGGAAAACAAAAGTATTCTCAATTTACGTTTTACTATATGCGTGCCTGCGATATGAGCAGACCTATGTGCAAGAAATTCCGCGTTGGTCTCGCCAAATCCAATGTCGATTGCTTTATTTTTGTGATCAGGACAACGCATTTTGCAAGAGCCATTACACAAACAACGACATGGACAGACGGATATATATATATATATGTATACATATGCTTTGCGGGATCTCTGAAGTTTCCTTTCAATGTACGCATGTCCTGCAGGCACTTTCAGCAAGTTTTTAAATCGGAGAAAGATTCTGGCAGTCACAATGTCAGTCCGTAATTTTACGAAATTAAAGAAGTAAAAGATTTATCGATATGTTGCAATGTTATGACCAACACAAATTCTTGCTTGGTCTCGCTTTTAATCATGCTCTGATCTTTTTTTTCCTTTCCTTGACATCGGTTGGATATAGTGGTGAAACAAAATCAGGATTAACGTGAAAACATTGAGGCCGATATACATGACATGAACGATTTGACGCAATTGAAGAATTTGGATCCAGGATTTCATGATTTCATGACATTCAAAATAGCACGTAGATCGATTCTGCCAAAGGCTGAAATGTGACTCGATTTCCGTCAGAAATTGATTTGTTGTAAAATAATCAATGTGGTGGAAGGCGGCAACGCAACATCTGCCGACCTTAAATTCTACTTGTTATTTTGTAAAAAAGTTTTCGAATCCAAGCTATCACAAGATGCTAGAAAACCTTAACTTTTCCATCATTTTTGGAAGTCAGAATAGCACAGAAATTGCATTGTAGTCTGATGCAAGGAACGGGGTTTCCAATTTTTCGGAATGACACCAATCCCTGCAAGTCTCCATGAATTAGGGAATACTGGAAACTATTGTTTTGCTTGGATCCAGTCACTTACTTCACTTTACTTGAATCGTTAAAAAATGATTCCCCCTCAAGAAGGAAAACCATTGAAACATCATAAATGCCGTGAATTCACTGATCCTGCCTTGGAACAATTTAAGAATGGTGATGATTTTTTTCAGAAAATCATCATTTCAATGATTCTAACTGGAAAGAACATTGTCGTTCGTTCCTGGTGTGTGACCGAACCACGTCAAGCAATCAACGATGAGAGGTATATTCATTTTGTCAAAACGTTTGCAATGCCCAGAAGGAAGCGTTAGCGACCCCATAAAGTATATATATACACATTTTTGATCAGCATCAATCTCTGAATCGGTTTAAGCATATCCGTTTGTCCAACTGCGTATTCTATATTATAAGCATTCTCCTGACCCTAGAAATTAAGCTCTCGATTTCAAGTTTGGCATAAATAACATAACATATATAAAAAATCAATTTCCAAAACCTATAATTTTGAATCGGCGTAAATGATCTTTTTTCAATTTTGCAGGATATACGTAGGTGTGTAAAAGTAATTAGCAAAAAAAACAACCCTAACAACCAGAGGTGTCCTCAAATTATTTTGCACTATAGGCGTACCGTCTCAACGACTTAGCCCATCTTCAACACCAGTCTACAAGCAAGATTTGAAGTCATATTTTTATTTTCGTATCGACGAGCGTATATATCGCAAACGTTAAACGGTTAGGTAGATAAACATGGCCAACTCGATTTCGGAGCGCGATACTGCTAAGAAATACGTACACTTTTTAGGGTTTCTAGTACGTGCTTTTGGACGATGCATACAAATAACAAAATGAATATATCCCGTTCTTCGGTGGTGCGTATAAAAATTAATTCCATTTAAATGAATTATGTTGAGAAGAACACACGTGGCAAACATACAGCATATAATCGAGCTTATCACATGATTGAATTCAAAGTATCATTTCACTTAAGAGCGGGTAACTCGACGTAAGCAGCAGAAAGAATATACAAAGAAAAAAAAAAAAAAACAACAAAGACAAACAAAATTGCATTCTAACCCAATTTTAAGCTTAAGAGACAATACGTGAAAGCTAATTTTTAACGACAACAGAAAGAAATGTTGGACTGGTTGTTGTTATTATCTACGTCTGTATTAACAAGAACAACCCTTGTCTTCGGTACCCTTGGCCACAATACTACGAAATGTAATTAATTTAAGCTAAACTTATATAAAATATGAAACAGTCATCGTATTCATTTTTGCACCTGTCGCTAAGATAATATTGCACTACATTTTATGAATCACCTTGATAGTCAGAAGCCTACATCTATTCAAAGATTTGAGATTCGAAGATTCCACATTGTTTTTTTTTTTTTTTTTTTTTGATATTCCTACTTGTATGAAAGTATGCGAACGTGGCATTCGATGCATGTGAACTGAGGTTTTATTCGATAGAAAACACAACTTCAAAAAATCGTATAACATAAAAGACTTTTTTCGATTTGATTATATTAGTGTCTCTTTGTATTTTTGTAATTTTTTATTATTTTTATCCAAAATTAATCGTCTTCGCCCTCGACAGACGCTTCATCTTCGTCATCATCATCGTTCGGACTATTTATTAACATATCAAGAAATTCTTCTTGATTCGAATCAATCATTTCTAGTAAGGAGGCATTTGCATCACCAATTTGCTGAATGGCAGCGTCAATAAGTTCGGGATGTTGTTGTACAGTAGTTCGTAAACTTTGAAAAATTGGATCGGTACCGAATACGTCCATTGGCGACATTTCTGAATCTGAGTCAGCGGCCATTATTTCGCCTTCAGCCAATGGAGCAGCGGGAATGCCTTCAATCAAATACTCAATAGCACGTTCTGGATTATTAAAGCTGGCTTCTAAGGCACGGCGTACATCAGGTTCGTCATAACCCATGCTAACAATTTGTTCGACCAACTTATCCCTATTATCTTTAGATTTCTTAGCATTCGAAACTGGGGCTATTTTACATTCGTCTTCTTTTGTAGCGGACGCTACGGGAGGCGTTAATTCTGAATCAGGTGGTTTAGATTCAATGCTGCTCTCCTCTGCAGCGACTGAAGTGCTGCTTTCCTCTTTGTTTTCCTTTATTGGCGGAGGCGATTTCTCTAAAGGCTGTTTTAATATCATAACGACTAGAAATTTGTTCGTATCTATATTGTAAACACTTAAATGATCCTGATTGCTAAGAATTTTGCCGGCATATATGAGTTTTTGAAATTCCGGCTGAACACCCACGTCCGGGTAAAGACAGAGTTCTTTTTTTAAATCATACACTGTTTGCGACGGCTCAATGTCCACAACCAATGATTTTCGATTAAGAGTTTTTATTTGAAGTTTCATTTCTTTTTCCCCGTTTAATAAATATTCTCTCCAACAATTTTTAGTAAATTCACATCGAACGCAAACTTGTCTATGTGCCTTAAGTAAACAACCAACTTCATCAAATAATTTTATTACACACGAAGAACGCAACTGAATTGAAAAAGAAAACCATTTGTTAGGCGAAGCAACGAAACAGTAAGCAACGACCTGACGATTAAAAATGTGATGAACGGAATTATTGTTAGAATTGCCAATATGTACAATAATATATGAATCTGCCGAATGAATAATCCCGGAGAAAATTCAAAGTGATCGATTATATTTTCAAAGACTGTTCAGATACCTCTGCTTCTTTTATGATATAAGAAAGACAAAAATTATTTTATGGCATTTTCTTCTACCGTAAAAAATCGTTTTCTGCAAATCTCGCAGAAAACACACAAAGTGCACATATCACACAAAGACATTAAATATATGTTAGTCGAAACAATTGGATTTAATGTTATATTAAGATTATTATCATTTAAAGTAAGGTTATTTGTATTTTTACTTTTCAAAATAATCTCAATTTTGTTTGACTGTCTTCCTATGAACACATCCGTTTGTTTGTTTTTTTTTTTCTTTTTGAAAACAAAATATCTAAGGACATCGTTTTCGTTTCATTCTCACTGTGTGAAAAATTTGTTACACAAGTTTAGTAACATATCGAGTGACTTTTTTAAAGAAACTTAGGTTCGCATATTGCAAATACACTTTTAAAACGAATGATAAAACAAAAACAAATAACGATTACTTATAGAGATAACAAATACGCGAATAGTACAAACACAGGTTTGTTTGCAAGATGAATATAAGAACAGGGTTCTATTTTTATATTTTCGGTAAAAAATAAAAATTATTTTTTGAGCAAAAGAGAAAGGAAATCCTTTATTAAAGAATTCATTTATATTACTTTATTTTATAACTAGAATTCATTAATGGATTTAGTTTGAATTCAGCTGCTTACACATTTTTAAGTTATTACTCCTCTGGGATGTACAATCCACACAAACGCAAAGTCGTAAGTAAACCCTTTTACTTAAGTTATGCGAAGAGTCATGTAGAAAAACACTGATTTATTACCTTTGGTCATTTCGGTAATACGTTACTATAACGTGACACAAAAGAGAATAACATGATTTCAAAAGGAAAGACAATAAGACACATTTGTAACAAATTCAAGTAGTTTTGTTCGCCATTCTCTACCTACGTAGTAATAATGGTCGATATATATGGTTTTACATTAATTACATGATTAGTTGATCCCCAAAAAGGGACTGAAGAGACTGTTTGTCTGCTCATATTTAAATTAAGATACATGATTATTTATTAGATCAAATAACCAAAAAAAACAAAAAAAAAAAAAAAAAAAAAAAAAAAACAAAGCCAACATTACTTTTCATTATCAAGATTTATTTACAAAGTTAAGAAATATAAAACTAAGAGGAGATGCCATTAACAAAACCTTTTTAGAAGTTTTACATAAGAGATCAAAAAAGCTTAAGAAAAAACATCGAATAGCATATAACATGAAATTTTGATACACAATAATTTTAGGTAGACATATGCACGATTTTTTCCAAGAATTACAGGGTCGTCCATTGAATATACGTGAAAATTTTTATAGTTATATTCGCTATAGTGTGTGAGTAACGCACAAAAATCCGTTTTTTTTTTTTTTGTTTTTGAAAACATAGGCGCCTTCAGCTTATGGGGTACTATAAACGTATCTTTCGACCGATTTGGCCAATACCAACGTGTGTGCAAGAACTTCCGCGATGGAGTGCCTGGGAAAGTTTACAACTGACAAATAAGCTTAAGGTATTTTTTTTTAAAATGACAAAATGTCTTGCAAACATAATCCTGACTCTGTCAAAGGATATAGATCTGCCATTCCAAAAAGGAATGCTATTAAATATCAAGAAAGTCGAAATAAATTCGTTAGCAGCGCTAAACGTTTAGAAGCTTTTTTATGTCCCTAACTATGTTTTTAAATAAGATCTTAACTTTTGTGAATACAGTTTTCAAAGATCTTAGAATTATTCATATTATTGTAAACGCTACAATAGCTAATAGCAATACAAGACATGATCTTCAGCAATTTCTGAACAGACATAATCTCAAAATTGTCTTTTTAAATGAAACAAAGGTCGACAAAAGGTAAAACGTTAGGATTTTTAATAATTACAACATAGTCAGAAAGAAATAGAAAGGGAGCAACAAGAGTGACCGGAATTGCCAGATTAATAAAAAACAAACAAATATAAGCAAGTATAGTAATAATTTAGTTAAATTATTCAACTTTTTCGAATCAAATGTAATTACAATTATGCATATCAGCGTGGAGCGTCTTCCCTCGAGAAATAACGATCGATATATAAGATATAAAATTGATAAGCTCTTTAAATCACTTACTCTACTGTGTCCGAAAAACAAGATGAATTTCTTTATAATTCCAAAAATCTTTATATACTCTTTCAAACCAATGTCATTGCTTTCGTAATGCTCAAAAAATATCCCTTGATAACAACTTTGCCTGGCAGTCGAATGGATGGTAATGTAACGGCATTTTTTTTTTTTGAGTTAAGATAGCTGTCAAAAAGTATCCGATGACGGAATACCCTTCTGTTTTTAAATTTTCTTGGACAGACTTCTTATATTATATTGGGCTGTCACTTCACAGGTCTACACGGATTCGTGTAAAAAGTCCTTTTTTCTATCTAATTTAACTATTTCGCGCAAACACTTTTCACTTACTCTTTAATGATTTCATGATATGACACCAATTCAATGGTGCTTTGATGGGTATTTTACTGTACGATATACATTTAACCGTTTCTTACACGTTTGCATTGAAAGCAGGAATTTATATAAATTTTTGCCTGTTTATAGTCTCTTCAAACAACAAATTTTGAACTTCAATTCAAAACATTTGTTTTTCTGCAAAAGATTTCCAAATTGAAAAATTGGCAAAGTTAAGCCTAAGCTAAAAATAAACTTTTGGAACATTTTCCTATCACATTTCGCTTTACAACTCTTCCAGTAATTCGGATAAATGAAGGATTGAGCTGCAGGGACGGGAGAGAGGGGGAGCGCGGTTCATAACGCTGTCATGCTAACATGCTAAGTGAAGAGCATATTTTATGAATGTAAGTAGGAAAGTAGTTTGGCGATGCCACACACGGTCTGCCCTTAGAAGTTGAAGATATTAATAAGCCGCAGCTTGTGATTTATTTTTGAGAAGAAGGCTAAAAAAACCCTGGGAGAGTAGTCACGCAAGTAATCATCCAAGTTTGTTATCACTTTTGCGTTCGGCTGAGAATGAAAGTAAATTTTTTGAATGAATTTTTCAAAAGTGATTATTCTTGATTACCCTTGAATCGACCGTTGATATGTGGAGAAATATTCCGCACACTTCGAGAATTTTTCGCCACATTTCGTCCCATGAAGTGAACAATCGAGGTAAAAAGGTATAAATCCTTAAAAAAAAAAAAAACAAAACAAAATCTCTAAATTTTAATATATTTTTCATTTTCAAACTTCACGGCCTAAATAAATCAAATGTGATTTTTTTTTACTTTTCAATTTAAGTTTTAAACCGGAAATCAAAAACCATTTATAAAACACGTGCTTTTTTACATTCTCAATAGGATTACGTATATATGTATATATATATATATATATATATATATATATATATATATATATATAGAAATATATATAAAGATTCGTTTATAAGGAGTAAATCATTATGAGCGTGAAGAACGTGTGTGCGATTATTATCGCAATCATTTTATGTGAGAACACAATACATATGAAAAATTCCAAACGAGATTTGAAAATCACTTAAATACACGTCAACACCCTCATTAGGAACAACGAAACCTATAATCCATTAATAGCAAAATATAAAAGTGACTATTAATGTAAATAGCAATTTATGAAAAACCGAATGATATGATTATTCGTAACTGTAAATGTGAAATAAGATGAACTGATTAATAATACTTATGATAGCAACCCTTAACGATGCAAATGGATACATATATATATATATATATATATATATATATTAGGTCATTCCATAAATAACACGGAATTTTTCCTCTAGTTCTCCACAACAAAAGCGGAGACATAGGATTAAAAATCCTACTTATCATTCTCTTGCTGTTACTAACCTATATTCAACATAACCTATATGCAACATAACCTATATTCAGCAGAACAGCAAGTCATTAGGTCATTCCATAAATAACACGGAATTTTTCCTCTAATTGGCCACAACAAAAGCGGAGGCGTAGTTTTACAAATCTTAGTTACCATTCTCTTACTATAACCTATATTCAGCATAACTTATATTCAGCATAAAAGCAAGAAAAGACCCGAAATCAATTTCGTAAATGATACGAACCATAAAATATATGCTTTATATGCGCTTTAAGGAGAAAAGGGTGTAGAGTGAATATATATATATATATATATATATATATATATCATTACTCAAACTGATCTAGTCTGTTGGAATAAACTTTTAGAAATGAAAGGTAGAAAGAAAAGTAATATGGACTTGGACGGAATAAGTTAAACGACTTCCTTAATATGCTTCCCTACTATTAACCGATATGAATGACCTTGCATTTTGACGACTATTTTTCAAATATTCATAGGTTTAATTGGTCCGAATATTGTGTCGGAATAAATATCGGCACTTTCAGATGGCTGCCTTACTGGCACTAAAGTTTTGATCAAGACTTTAACAAAAAAAATCTAACGCATACACACGGCAGTGTGTACACACGCAGTGTGTTCGAAACAGAGGTGACTTTTCAAGTTTCTTGGGCGACGTACATTCGTTCCGAAGGGTTAGACGCGTTTTCGTGTGCTTGGCAATTTTTTGCTTTCGAAAAAATTGGATCAAAGAGTGTATACTAAAATAGTTTGAGTAAAAAGAACATGTTTATAAACGATACAAGCTCTTCACAGAAGGCCGAGAAGGCTGTTAATGGCAATGCCCGAGTGCCCTGGACGTTGAAACCATTGACGGGAACTAAAGGAAATCCTCGAAACATTATTCGAGAACCTGCAAAGGCTGTCGGCATAACGATTGCCTGATTCCACATAATTTCATCGGATGTTTTGGACATGAAACGATAATGCGCTAGCCCACGCCTCACTCAGTTTTTGTAATTTTTTGACGAAAAACGGGACCTGATTCACTTGACTTGGCCACCTGCGACTTTTTTCTGTTCGCAAAACTGAAAAAACGCATGGGAGAACAAAATTTTGCCACGATTAAGGAGATAAAGACCGCAAAACTTAAAGACCTCAAGGCCATACCAAAAAACCTAGAGCAGAAATTGCTTCGAAGAACCAAAAAAGCCTTGGCACAAGTGTTTTATATCTAAAAGGGGTTAGCTTTTTCGTAGAGAACCAAACACATGTTGATGGATTAACAAATATTTTTCGAGAAAAATAAAAAGTCATCTGTGCTTTTTTGAGCGTAGCTTCTGCTTAAGGTGATAATCAGTTTTCGTCTCGTCTGATCTCGTCTGTGAATCAGAAGAATGTTGCAGTAGTCATAACTACTAACCGACCGCCAAAAAGGCTTCAGTCAGATCTATGACAAAGTCGCCAATGGTCACTTGAGAGGAAACATCGCGTGAACAGATTTAAATACTAACACTCGCCCTATTCCGTGCATTCATAGAAATTTGATTTTTCGATTGCGGTAAAAAGGCTACTCAGGTCGCCAAAGAAACATTGGAAAAAGTGAAGGAAAATAGAAATAAATATATAAATATATGTATATATATATATATATATATATATATATATGTAAATGCCGTATTAAATATTGGTTGACCTAATATAAAGCAAAAAGAATGAGATGAGCTATTCTGTTAGTGAAATATGATTATGTGTCATTTAGTATTAGACACATATATATATATATATATATATATATATATACACACACACGTTAAGATAGATAATGGCAAATGAAAGTAGCGAGAAATTGCCACGAATTATTAAACTGGAATCGCACGCAAATTTGTGATGGTTTCCTGATTATAAACTGAGAGTAACCAACTAAGAAGAAGAAGAAGAAGAACAAATTCCCTTATTAAAGCCGAAGGGTATACAAATGGTATGTGTGCACGTGACCAATGACTGCAAACTTCGGTCAACCAAGATAAGCTTATAAACTTAAGCATATATAAAGTGCAATTATATACACCATACAGTATAGATGCTGTGTTTGATATAAATGATTGATATTTCGATCAATTTAATCATATTATGCCTAGACAATGCAATATTTGCGCTTTCTGCTGAAGATTAGTTCATGGATTCCGGTAATTAATATAAAACATTTAATTCATTACGAAAATTTTAAGTAACGACTTTTCCATATAATTTTGACGACTTGACATTCAAAACTACTGATATGATTAAAATGTCACCACATTCATTAGTCGTGCGTTCAATCTATTCAAAGTTGTTGAGTTCAACTCAGAATATAACATTTTTCTATAACAAGTCAAAAATTTAGTACAGTTTTAGTTGAAGGCATTTATTTAAACTAATCTTAAACTGAAAAGTTATTGTTTGTGTTTACATAACTTACCCTAAATCACTTGCACTTACCCTCTCAACTCCATACATGTGAAATCGACAATTTTTCAAAATTCATTTTGCTTCTCCTCCCGGAGACAGCTTGAGATTTTTTATAAGCAATACATTTGTACGCCTATGCAAGTCTGATGAGTGGCATTACTGCAAAAAATATCTGATCATAAGTTACGTTACGTGTTATCATCACGAAATTTCTGAATCTACCTGAAGTCTATCTCCACCCAGCTATATTTGGCTAAACGACACCCAATTTAAACTTACTTCAACTGCCCAAAAGTGATCACGAATCAATCGATCGATATATGTTTGAAATGTATTTGTGAATAGTTACGAATAGTTAGTCATGCTGATGAAAAATCCCTAAAATCTTTGATGATTTGGTTTCCGCTCGATCGGACTTTAACATAGCGATTGGCGAATAGCATAAATACACCTCTGCCAACCTTTTACAAACGCATTAATTTGCAATTTGTTCAAAGCTTGGATGGATTCGTTTTATTCACTGTTATGTCCCAGCCCCTTTACAATATAATATAATAAATAACATCATAGTTCCATAAATTTCCGATCAACATTCAGAGATCATCGGGCAAGCCAATTTATTAGGACCAATCATTGCTGCTTTCAATGACTCAGAAATGCTATAATGATTAGTAGTCAACTTAAATTCTATTTACTAGTTTTCGAGATCATTCAAATGCTTGGTTCATCAAAAGGCAAAAGATAATTTGCCAGTAGAAGAGGGTAGGAAAGGAACACATATAAATTTTCGCGATATTTTAAAAAAATGTTCTTTGATTATTTTTTTTTGAAACTCGCCTCCGGAAAAAGAATATTATGTCCTTGGTAGCGCTATTTTGTAGGAAGATCGTTATTTGTACCCTATGTCACTCAAAATACAGGGAATATTAAATTTATGCGGACGGATTAAGTACTAACACACAGAAGGACTTGAGATGAGCCCACATTTTGTTAAACCGATCGATTCAGAAAATGATTCTAAGTTTTTGTGTCCGTCTGTCCACCTTGTATTCTTGTATTCAACCTACAGGTCGCAATCTTTGAGATGTTTCGATGCAACAGATGGTACACTGATGTCTTTTGGCCCACGGACGATTTTTGTTTTAATTATTGTTACATAAAACTTTCCATTAACTCAATCAACATTTACGCAATACTGAAAGCCAACACTACACC